TGGGGTTCAATATGTCCCTCATAAGAAAGCATGAAAGAAATCCCCAGGATGTCAGTAAGAGGACAAGAGGCAGAAACGGTGGGCTCTGGCCATGAAGAGCAAAGCACAGTCCTCAAGGGAGACTTCTTCAAGCAGACAGACTTGAAATACCAAATGGGTTTGAACATGTTGAAGAGATTTACATAATTAAGGAAGTGTTTGGATTTGAATTACTGTTAAGTACATAGAAAATTAAATCAATAAAAAAAAATCATTTTGCTCCAGGGGAAAAATGTACAGGAAAAAAACAAAGTAATCACAGTTAACTATATGGCTGAACTATGAATAGATATTGCATAGTCATGAAGCAGATCCTGAGCGTTGGTCTACTTAAAATTCTGGTGTATCTGGAGAGTGGTGTGCTGGGAACGGCGGGGGACACCGGGAGGGAGCCAGGCAGGCGGCTCTCAGCTGGGGGTGCCTCTGACCTCCCCTGGGATGCCTGGCGCTGTTCTCAAGCAGGGTAGAGGCCACTGGCTCAGACATCTGTCCATGGGGTGGGGCTTCCTATCCTGGGGTGAGTGTGACAGGGGTCCCCACGGTGTGCTCTGTAGTCTGTGCCATGACAGTGAGATCTAGGTTCCATCTCAGGTGCAGGGGTAGCCGTTGGCATCTAGTGGGTAGAATTCAGGGACATTGCTAAACATCCTACAGTGCACACCCACAACAAAGAACAGGTCCAAAATCACAGTAATGCCACTGTTGAGCAATCCCAAGCTAAGCCATCGTTTTCCAAAGCAATGAGCCAGCAGATAATAGCTAAAACGTAAGTATCATAGCAACGACAGACAGGCACTTCAAGACAGGGGGAGACGCAGAATCGGCCGAGGAGAGGGCCTGTGCCATAACCAACCTGGAGCAGTGTTAGTCTCTTGGCCTGGAAGGAGTGTGCACAGCTTTGATATTCTGGACAGCGTCACGTGGGAGCATTACTGATGAGGAAGGCGTGTGCTCCGTCTTGGTCCCTGACTGGCTGAATGCCCTGTGGCTTGGGGTCCTGCCACCTCCCTGGACGTGGCTGTGGGGTTCACTCCCTGTCTGTATGTGAGGGTAACGCATGGAGAGGCACGTTGCTCTCTTGCTTTTAACTGGGCCTGGGACTTGTGAGGCTCTCTCTTCTCCAAGGCGGGAACTCCAGGAGCCTCAGTGCTTCCCGGAGCCTGGTGTGGGTGCAGCAACTCCCCTCGGTGGCAGCATGCCAGAATTGCAGGTCCAGGATTTTGAGTGAGTTTGGGATGCCAAGCGGGCAGGTGAGGCACCAGCAGGCCTCCCTACTCCGGGTCTCTGTCAGCACATGAGCACCCCGTGGCCTCTGCCTTAGGGACGGGCTGGCTCTGAAGACCCACGGCCGGCTAAGCTGGCTTTGGCCTGTCCACAGGCTGGGAGGCATGGGACTCAGCTGGTGGCCCTCTGCGCTTGCTGTGGTGGACAGGGACTCCCTGCACAGGTCCTGCGGCATTTCCCACCAGCGAGGCCCAGGTGGCGGGTACTGCGGGCACCGTGTGCCTTCGTCCTGCTCGTCTTTCTTTTTAAGACATCTTTTTAGTCGCAGATGAAGGCAATACCTTTATTAATCTCCCCTGTGCCGAGGCTCAACCCCATACCTCCCACGTGCGAGGCGAGCGCCCCACGTCCAGCCCCTGCCGCCCTGCTCTTCTTGTGGAGTGTGTGCCCTTCCAGCCGCAGTGGCCTCGCGTGCCTTGGGCAGGTGCCCCAGAGCCCACCCAGGCCAGGGCAAAGCGGCCCTGCGCCCAGCTCTGACGGAGGGTGCCTCTCCTCTGGGGAAGGCGCTGTGCCAAGCTCATCTGCTTCCCAGAGCAGGGAGCTCTCCAGACCTGGTGGAGGGGGGAGGACGAAGAGAGACCGAGGTCAGAGCACCGCTGCAGGGTGCTGCCACCCCTGTGTCCCTGCAGCTTGAGAAGCCCGTCCCTTTGTCCAGGAAAGGGGCTCGCTTTCCCTGAGGAGGGAATCCAGCCTTGGGGACCACTGTGCCACGGCTCACCCCCAGCAAGACATCCCTGCACAGGTGGAGGGAGACGGGCACATGGACGCGGCCAGGCCTCATTGTGGGCACACATCTCCGTAAGGGCCTCTCCAATCTGGGTGGAGTGGGGGTGACCAGTGCCCAAAGGCCTCAGAGCGGGACGGGCAGAAAGCGGGTAGGGCAAGGAGCAGGCAGGCTTAAGCCCGGGCCTCGGGGCAGCAGGAAAGGTGACCCAGGTTCCACATGGGCAGCAGGCTAGGACGGACCTGTGTGGGAAGTGTGGGAACCGCCCACTCTGGGCAGGCCTTGTGCCCTGCAGGGTCCCTGGCAGACAGGTGTGCTCCCTGCCCAAATCAGGGCAGGGCACGGGCTGTGGGCAGCCATTTCTCCATCAGGGCCTTCCTGCCCTGGGGACAGCTTGGTGGCCCACCGTGTGCTCTATGCCATGTGGCAGAGCCCAAGCCACACTTGGAGGGTGTGGAGCAGATGGACATTGAGGTGTCCCCACTAGGCCTTGCTGGATGGACAGGCCAGCAGCTCTCGGCTGGCTCAGGAGACGGGAATCCTGGCTCCGAGCACTAAGGCAAGTGTCTGTCACCAGGGCTGTGGGCTTCATGCCGGGGCTGCCTGCAGGCGCCTGAGGGGCCACTGCACCGCCTTTTGCCAACACAGTTTGGGCTGAGGTGAGGGGCTCCCCCCGGGGTCCCCAGACCTCACCTGTGTCCATCTGGTGTGTGGGGTTCAGAGGAACTCGTGGGGTGGTGACATGTGGCCCCTGCCTCTGTGCCACATGCAGAGAGGCCAACGGCAGGCCCCTCACATGTGTTCCTGCTCCCACAGAGGGACAGGCTGTGGGCACAGGGCGAGGTTCCATGTGATCCTGGCTCTGGATGGTCAGCTCCGTCACCTGCACGTCTCAAATTGAAATCAACTTCACAAATGTCCCCTGGTCTGGTTGAGACCAGTTACCTGCAGGGCTCCTTTTGTCCCCTTCCAACATTCTGAAAGTGGCTGGGGCTGCCATGCTCTCCTAATCGCAGCTCCTCAGGAGCAGGAGGGTCACCAGTTCAAGGCCAGCCTCAGAACTCAGCAAGACCCTGTGTCAACATAAAAAAAGAGAAAAGGCTGGGGCTGGGGCTGCGTGGCAGAGCACTCCTGGGCCCCTGGGCAGTACCTCCAGAGAATGAGACCTCTGTGGAGCCTCCAAAAGTAGCCGGCACCAAGAGAAGGACAGCAGGACCCTGGCTCAGTGGTGGCTGGGTGGCCAATGTCCAGCGCCCCTCCTGGTGTGGAGGGTGCCTACAGGGCCCTGAGGTGGCCACGCTCGTGCCCCTGCTAAATGACGGGAGGCTGTTGTCCTGCCGAGGGCCCTAGCAAGAAGCAGCATGCCTGGGACCTGCTGTCCCTGAGCTGCCTCATGGGAGAGCAGCCCGGCAGACGCCCTCGGGTGTTGGCTAGGCGTGGCGTGTGGCCTCCGTGTCCTCCTGATGTGGTGCCCCATGCACACCTCCCAGGACACAGGCGTGCCAGCCGTGGGAGGCGGGTGACCTTTGGGGCCCCGAGGTCCCATCACCGTCCATCTGCAGAGGCCTTCAGCACAGGTACGAGTCCCTGAGCTGCAGGAGAGGCCCCTGTTAGCAGCTCGTCCCTTTGTCCTCCCCTGAGGGCGGCATCTGCCTCTGACCTTCAGAGGAAAGGGTTCCCAGTCCACTAACCTCCCAGACCCAGGAGTAAGTGTCTGCTTCCTCAACAGCCAAGGTCACTCCAGGGCAATGTCCACCACAGACCCTTGGGGAGAAACTCCCGGGAACCAGAGTTCTAGAGAATCAGCTTGGGGCCGTGAGGGTCAGCGGGTGGCATGGGGGCTGCGGGATGGCTAGAGACGGCAGAATGGTCCTGGGGACCTCTCCCCTGCACAGTGCTCCTTCCTCCCATCTGCTCTCGACTCCCCATGAGAACAGAAGCTCTGTGTGCAGGGACAGATGGCCGGCTGGGTTAGCCCTGGCCTCCCGGCTCCCAGTGCTCACTCACGACTCACGTACTGGGTGGATGAGTGAATGGGCGACACTCCCAGGCGGGAGTCCCTGTGGACGGGCTGAGTGGAGGGAACCCCAGGAGCAGGAGGTGCCCGAGGTGGCTGCTGCGCCTGCCCTCAGCCAGCTCTCCACCGCCCACTCCAGCTTCTCTCCTCCTGCATTAGCTGGGTCCCTTGTTCGACTCTTAGCAAGTCCAGTGGTGGCTGGCGGCCACCCAGGGACAGGTGTCAGTACTTCTGCACGTAAATGGTCTTGAACTTGATCCTGCAGGTCTGACCCTCCTGCTTCTAGCTGGAGATAGCGTGAGGTGGGCACAGGGCAGAGCGCAGGGATGACAGGTGCGGAGCCTGTTGTCCAGGTGCAGTGTGGTGGCAGGGGCAAGCAGGTGTGTACCCCACAGCACTGGACAACTGCCGCTGGACCGTGTGCACGGCAGGCACCAGACACCTGCCCCGTCCCCCCTTGTTGGTCTTGTGTCATCCAGGAGAGCACACAGGGGCACTGCCCCTCCTCCCTGGGCCAGGGCAGCCCCTCCACTCCTGGCACCTTGTTGATCCCCACTTTGTGCCACCTGAGGCTTCCAGATGGGGAAGGGGAGGAGGGGCCATGTCAGGGTCAGCGTGAGAAGCGATTAAGTGCCACAGGTCCCTTTGCCGAGAGGGTGGGCAGCCCGCCTGGACACGCCTGTTGGGTTCCGCAGGGACCTGCAGGCCATGAGAACTGCCCTAAGCCACAGGAGCGAGCACTGGGCACCCCAGAACCAGCTGTCCCTGGAAGCTGCAGAGGGCCCTGGGCCACAGCCAGGTGACCCCACCACGGGCACTTGTCCCAGTTTCCCCCAAAGCACTCTGGCTTCCAGAAGATAGGACTCCACGCTGTCCCCACCTGGCCCCTGCTGCCTTTGTCCCCGCCACTCAGGCCAGCTCCCTGTCTTCCTCCAGGTCAACAACGAGAATGTCGTCAAGGTCGGCCACAGGCAGGTGGTGAACATGATCCGCCAGGGAGGGAATCACCTTGTCCTTAAGGTCGTCACGGTGACCAGGAGTCTGGACCCTGAGGACACTGCCAGGAAACAAGGTACATCCCCTGCAGGGGCCCTGGAAGGGACGCCCACTTCAGGTGGATGGGCCTTCCCTTCAGCTGAGCGCCTCCAGACCTGGGGGGCTGAAATTTGCCCCCCAGCCCCAGCCATGACATTGACCCAGGGTCACCTCCTAGAGTGGAGTGGAACCTGCAGAGAGAGATCAAGCGCCGGCCACTGGTGGGAAGGAGGGGGAGGCCACAGCCATCCTCCTAGCCAGCTCTCCCAGGGACAGCTGCATGGGACATGGGACACCAAGTCCTGTGACAGCAGGAAGGCTGGGCTGGGGAGAGAATGCCCAGAACTGGAGGAGGGGCAGGGACAGTGGGAGGCCATCCAGCAGGGGGAGGGGAAGAGCTCCAGCTGTGCACCAGGAGGGCAGAGCCAGCTCCTCCCAAAGCCCTGTCAGCTGGAGCAAGGGACCTGTGTCCCCACTGGGACAGGGTGGGTGTGGGACCTGTGCCCAGCCTGGCAGCTGGTGGCTAAGGGCCTACGGCTGCTGCAGCCACCCAGACTGTGCTATGAGTCTCTCGCAGACGCTGGGGGACAGGGCTGTGCCTCTCTTTCTGCAGAGGTTACACCTGTCCTCCACCCCTGGCCCACAGTGCCTCCCGGCCCACCCGAAACACCTGTGAGGTCCTAACCATCGTGGCCCAGAGTCCCTAGGACCGCAGGGCCCTGCCACATGACTCATCCTGGGCCTCAGTGACACCTGCCTGGCCCCTGGACAGTGCCATGTCCAGGAGCGGGGAATGGAGAGGCCAGGGGGAGGGGCAGCAGGGCCTGGGGTGCTCACACCTGTCTCCGTCTGCCCATCCAGCTCCCCCACCTCCAAAGCGAGCGCCGACCACAGCCCTCACCCTGCGCTCCAAGTCCATGACCGCAGAGCTGGAGGAGCTGGGTAAGAGCCGCCCCGCCCCGCCCCGCCCCGCCCAGCTCTGCTGCCCCGCACGCCTGCCCCTGCACGGCCCTCGGCTGGCTTGCATCCCCTTGGGTGACGCGCCCTTCCTGCCCTGCATGCCCTGGCAGCTGCGCCCCTGGCAGCTCCTCAGGAGCCCTGCAGGATGTGGTGACCTTTTCTGTTCTCTAACACGTTCTGTCTGGGATTCTGGGGCCTTTCACTGGTGGACAATGGTAAGTGGCCGCAGGGCCCCCATAGCAGCACGTCCACAGCAGCACCCTGCTTCTAGGGCACCCCACAGAGCCCCTGCACAGGCAGGAAGGGCCCAGACCAAGGCTGCAGTGCACGGGGACCTGCACAGATGGCACTGCTCACCAGGCTCAGGGGCAGCACCTTGGAAAGTCTCCAGGAAGCAGACGCTCTGGCCACTTGTCCCCATCTGGTAGACTGGGGACGGTGGCAATTAGCCACACAAGCCACGATGACCTATAAACAGAGGTGGCCACATGGGCTGCCCAGACACTGCACAATACCTCACAGAGTTACCAGGAAGCCCAGGGACACCTCTGGAAAGAGGGTGGCTCAGAGCCGGAGAAAGGGAGGCAGCAGTGGCAGCAGGAAGATGGTGGCCAGGGCAGGTCTCATGGGCAGGCGACAGACCTGGGGCAAAAGCGAGCAGCCCTCCTTGACGTCTTGCCTGGACAGTGCCTGTGACCGATGCCAGCCTTCCACTGGACACCTCCAGGCCCCCTACCAAAAGCATAAAACAGGCACAGGCGCCCCTCCCCCGACCTTCCCTGGCAGACACCACCCACAAGCTGGGGCGCTCGGCTGCTGTCCTCCTGGGTCCAGGTGTGGAGGCTGGGGCTAGAATCTGAGGCTCAGAGGAGGCTCAGGCTCTTGGAAGAGGCAGCCCTGCTGCAGGGCGCGACCCACCCAGAAACCACAGCCGTCCTCTCCTCTGGCCCCACCTTGACCTCTTGGTCCCTTCAGAACAGCCCATGCATTCCTGCGGGTGCGCGGCAGGAGCCGTGGGCATGCATGTGACCCATGATCTGCTCTGAAAGGAGCCATGGGGCCAGGCCCTCTTCCAAGGGGTCATGTGGGGCTCCCTCCTGGACAGCAGGCGATTGGTCTTTAAAGGGGGCTGCTGTTGGTGTTGGAGCAGGACCTGCGCTGGCCCCAGGTGCCCTCTGCAGGCAGGCCTGCTCCCCAGTCCAGCACGGGGCTGTGTGCAGGGTGCGGGAGGAGGCGGAAGGCGCCTTCCCTGCAGCGGCAGGGGGTGGGTTCCCAGGGAGGAAAGAGCCAGCTCTGAGGGCTGTGGGAGAGGACCCCGCCTGGCTCCCCTGCTGGGCCCCAGACCACCCTGAGCTGGGCGGGGCTTCCTGGGCTGCGTGGCTCGGTGGCTCATGGCGCCTCCCTTTCTGTTTGCAAGCCTCAGTGCGGAAGAAGAAGGGTAAGGGAAGTGCTTGTCTGTCTCCAGTCCTCCCGCCATCACACCCCCGAAGAGAACCCCTCTGTGACCACCTGTGCGTCTAGAGTGTGCCGTGAGCCCCTGTCTTTCCTCTGTGTCGGGGCCACCCAAGGCCCCAGCCTGGACCACGTCCTGCTTGGGTCTGTTCCGTCCCCCGGCCCCGCTGTCTGTGGCCACCCCCAGCGTGCTCTGCATTTCCTCCCTGAGCTTATCCACATCACATGACGTGGAGCCTCCGGCCCCTCGGCCCCTCGGGTGGTCACAGCCATGCCTGCCCTGGCTGGTGACTGCACACTCCCTCTGAGAGCCTTGCCAGAGCCTGGCCACACTGACTGGTCAGGGGGTGCAGGCAGGAGCCCCGGCCCTAGCCCTGACCTGCCGTCTCCTTCACAGTGGGCAAAGACTGTCCCTGTCAACACTCAGTCTCCTTTGTGTGATGGGAAGGGGACTGACTGTGGGGTCTTTCAGAAAGGCTGTCGTGGGCCAGGAGGACAGGCAGACGGGCAGCTGCAGTGGCGGTGAGCAGCTAGGACAAGGCCGGTGTGCACCCCAGGAGCAGAACCCAGCCCTCCTCCAGAGCATCCCCATCTAGGGAGGTACTCTGCTGGCCACGGCCCCCCCGCACAGAGCTGGCAGGGAGCCAAACGGGCTGTAGGCCCTCGCATTCAAAACGCCTCTGCCCCAGGCTGGGAGGGGACCCTAGCAGGGCTCCAGGCATGAGCCTCAGGCCCCACCAGAGGTAGCCTGTAGATCCTGAAGTGGGGCGGGGTGTTGGGTTCCAGCAAGACCAGCACCAGGGCAGGATGGGCACCGGGAGCAGGCTGCGGTGGCCGCCTCAGGTGCAGAGCACCAGCCTCTCCTGCAGCAGCCCCTACTTCACTGCCATGGGCCCAGGGTCACCCCTGCATCGAGGCCCTTGAGGGTCCAGGCATCTTGCTGTCATGGGGTCTCGGATCTCTGACCTCGCCTCCACCCAAGGCACAGCCCAGCTTCCCCTGGTGGGAGGCACAGCACCCTGGGCTGCCGGGGCCTGGCCCACAGCACAGCTGGCCAAGGGAGGACCACCATCCAGGAGAAGCCTTGGGACCCGCAGAGGCCAAGCCTCCGTGGGCACCTGTGGCCTCCCCTTAGGGGCACCTCACGCGGACAAAGGCACAGCCGGGCAGAGCCACCCAGAGGACAGGCAGGGGTCCTGGGAGGGAAGCCTGCCTCCCCCTCAGGCAGCATGCACCTGGCTGCAACTCGGAGCTGAAGTGCCCCACCCCAGACAGCACAGGAGGCGGGATGTGGCCCAGTCAGGGGGCTGAGGGCTGCCCCTGCTCCCACAGCCACCAAGCACAGCTCAGCCCCAGCTCCCAGCATGCCCTGGGAGCCTTGCCTCACCTGCCGAGGGCACAGTGCCCTCCAGCCCCTCAGGGAGGACTGCCCAGCCCAGCAGGGAGCACGCCCTACACCAGGCAGGCTGTGGGCCTTGAGCAGGACCCTGGCCTTCAAACTGGGCTCGAGAGTGTGTCTCCCAGATCAGAGTCTCCACAAATGGGACTTTCCTTGGAAATAAGGTCTTTCTGGTGGAGCCGAGATGCCGCTGTGCCGGGTCAGGAGGGCCCAAAGCCCCAGTCCTGTCCTGGTGAGAAGAAAGCACACGCCAGGGAATCCCGGGGCTTGCAGCAGCCACCGGGAGCCGGGGGCCAGGGAGGACACCTCGCAACAGCAAAGGGGACCATGGCCCTGCCACACCTCTGCCGTGGACGAGAACCGAGCCGATAAACTCCTGTCCCCTTGAGCTGCCCGGCTCCCAGTCCTGATTCAGCAACCCCAGGAGACTCGTGGGACAGGGACGCACGCTCATCCCATGACCTCTCGCATGCCCTGCTGCGTGACCCCCAGTTCTTCCAGGCACCTGCCCGAGGCCCCAGACACTGGCACAAGCTCCAGGCAACAAGGCCACCATGGCTGGTCCTAGTGGACACACAGCAGCCCAGGGCGGCCCTGGCAGAGGCAGAGGCTTGAAGGCAGAGCGGGCTGGGGTGGGACGGACTTGCAGGATGGACGGAGACTTCCCATGTTCCCAACACCTCGGGCTGCACCACAGCCTGCCTGGGAAGGAGTGGCCCAGGTCACACCTCCTGCCCCTCCCCCAGCTCTGGGGAGAGGAAGCCAGAGGCGCCCCACGGCAGCACATGGGGCGGCTTCCCTGGGTGTCTGGAGCAGGGTCCCGGAGGAAGCCTGTGCAGTGCTGCCCACTCTTGAGATGGGCACACACCCTGCCCTGTACGGGTGAGCAAAACCTATGCCCAGTGCCACACAGCAGGGAACAGTGGCCCTGGACAGACGGCCCCCAGACCATCCCAGGCCCCAGGAAACAGTGGTGTACCCCACTGCTGGAGGGGCTAATGCACCTGTAGAACTCAGACACTTCCAGAACACCTGGTCTTGTCCTCCCCAAGAGCATCCTGAGGAACAAGGGGACATGGGTGCCCGCTCTGAATGGGCCTGGACCTGGAGTCTGGCTGCAGTACCACCTTGCATGGCCACAGGACAAGATGAGTTGCCTGGAGGGGGCTCCCCAGCAGGTTCTTGTAGCCAAACAGCCCCCCGTGGCACCAGGCTTCCCTGTCTGCCAGGCCATTAGGGTCCCCATTCCAGGGGCTTGGGGACATCCTCCTGGTAAACAAAGCCAGCCTTGTCTGGCTCACTAGGCCCAAGGAGAGCAGCATGTGCCCACATCTGGGCACAGTCTTTCTGCACCCGCTCTGTCCACCTGAGGCCCAGGTACTCACAGGCTGGGGGACAGGTGGGCAGGTGGGGGCTGCATCACTGAGAAACACCCAGAAAGTCTGAAAAGCCTGCCCAGAGCCCGCGCTACCCAGGGCCGAGTTCGCGACCCCTGCCCAAGGCGTCTGTCTTGTAAGGAAGGCGTCACCTTGCCTGGAGGCTCAGAACAGAGCCCAGTGGGGACTGTTCCCAGTCACTAAGCACTGCAGGGGGCCAGCCCACTAACTCCCCGTCCAGGCTCTGAACAGATGACCTGGGCTTTGTGAATCAAGCCTGACCCTCAGGGCCCCAATGAGAGGAGGAAGCTGTAATCTACCTTTGTGTCCTGGTAAACAAGTTCTGAAGGGTGGGGCTGAGTGGCCAGGTCACCAGCTCCCCTGGGCCCCGCAATCCAAGAGACAAAGGGGGAGCCCCCTCTTCCAGCTCAACCCCACAAACAGCACTACCTTCAGACACCGCAAACTTAGTGAGCATAGTTAGGATCCGTAAAAGATGAATCCTGCCCAGTATCAAAGAAATTAGCCCCAAACTCACTCTTACCATAACACTAGCTCTATCCCTAGCCCTAACCCTACCCCTAACCCTAACAAACCATCTTGCCCTCATAGTTCTGTGGGTCTCAGGTGGAGGTGGGAAGGGCAAAGGTCAAGGTGGCCACAGCTTCAAGAGACACTCCTCCTGTGGCAGGAGCACACCAGCTCTCTGGGTGTGACTGGTGAAGATGGTGCCCACCAATGCCCACCACCCTGCTCCCTAGCCAGCCAGACAAGGCAGGCGACCTGGCAGCAGCCCTAGCAATCCCCAAGTGTGTGTCCTGCTGCCATGGACCCCAAAGCTAGACGACCTGTCCAGATGGCTGGCAGGACTGGTGACCCTCGCCTGAGCTCAAGTGTACCTGGTCTCCCAGTCCCTACCTGTGTAACCCTAAGTGTCTCAGACCCTCAGGTGGTTTTCCTGTAGAATGGGGTAATCTCTCCCCTGGGAGAACTGGGAGGAAGGCCTCTCTCCCCTCCGGGGCCTGGCACTGTTGGTGAGGACAACGTCCCTCTGGCTAACCCTGGTGTACCCAGCATTTGCAGAAAGCTTGGGGGTTCTTGCGCTGGCCCTGTGGCCTTGGAACAAGGCCTGCTGCCCACTCCTTCTGAGCCCAGAACACTCCAGGGGCACTCCAAGGTTCAGGGCAGCAGGCCCAGAGCACGCGGGTGGGAGCAGGCCCACCCCATCAGCGCCCAGGAAGCAAACCTTGGCTTCTGGAAGGGGCCAGCCAGGACACGGCTTCTTGGGACTCCATGGCTCAACTCTCAGCCATAGGAGAGCTGCTCCTCCCGAGTCCTCCACCCCAGGGTGCCCAGACATGGTCCCCAGCACATCAGACCCTGGCCTCCTGCCTTTTCTTGCAGAGTCCCCACCAGGGCCTTCAGCAAGGGCCACAGCCCTCTGCACCTTAGGTCCAGCCTCTGATGTGCTCAGAGCCCCACTGTAACTGCCAGCCACTGAGTTCATCAGGGCCCAAAGGCCAGGCCAGTGCTCCCTGGACCTCCCCCATGTCAGCCTGCCGGGTCATGGCCCAAGCAAGGTAGCCAGCAGCCAGCAGGGCGCCCTTGTGCACAGTCAGAGGCAGCGGGGCTATGCGGGTGCACCGGAGCCTACACCTGAAGTGCCCCACAGTCCCCTGGGCTGAAGTCCTTCTCCTGGAACTCGGCAGCACAGTGCCAGGGCTGCTGTGCCCCCAGGCCACACCCTTGGTGGGCGGCAGAAAAGGAGCCAGGGCTAGCACTGTCAAGAACTTCTGGTACCCAGAGCAACTCTGGTGTCCCACTCACTGCAGTGGTGGCACGGAGCGCCCCAGGGCTGGACAGACCTCGGTCCCCTTCCTTGGAGAAAGATACTCTGGGGCAACCAGTAGCCACCCTCATCCAAGGCCGAGCCAAGCAGCCAAGAGGCCGAGCCTGCAGGCACAGACCAACGGGCCCCATGCATCCTAGCTGGCTCTCCAAAGCAGGCCACCCGGCCTCACCTGAGCCTGCCTCAGAGGGACAAGAGAACCTGCAGTGTCAGGGGACAGACACTGGCAGGAGGTTCTGGGCCCGGGAGCGGGGGACGAGAGGGCCTCCATGCAGGGGAGGGTGGCAGAACTCAGGGTGAGGACGCAGCTGATTGCCATCCAGGGCACCCCACTGCCATTAGGAACGAGAGTTGGGCGTTCCCCCCGTCCTGCCCAGCCCCTGAGGGGCAGGTGCTCACCACACACCAGGGGACGTGCCTGCTCCTGGGGAGGGGAGCCCACAGAGCAGGGGAAGCTGGGAGTGGCCGCCTCATCAGGGGGACAGGAGGACGATCGGGGCCTCCGCACTCCTTGGCACCTTGGGACCCACTCCACTTCCTGCTGGCAAGAGAGCTGGGGTGGGGTGCAGACGGGGCTTGCAGACACCTCCTTGGCAAGCCAGGCCGTCCCTGCCTCACCTTCCGTCCCTGCTACCACTCTTCCACTTCTTTCCCTTCCTCCTCTCTGGGTAACTCTTTATACGTGTGGAACTGCTCTGAGGTCAAGGGCAGGACTGGGCCTGCAGCTGGCCCCCTTGAACCCTGGAATCAAATGCCTTGACTGGAATCAACCCTCTTCCACGGTGTCAGGGTCTCACTTGGCTGCTCTGCGCGTTGCTGACGCCCCCACGACCCCTTCCCTCTACACCTGCTCATGGGACCTGGTCTGCCCTTCAGAAGGCCATGCTCTCATACCGGGTGACTAGGTGGCAGTGCAGCTCCAGGGATTTGGTGGCGGGTCAGTTTCAAGAAGAAACAAGAATGTTCTACTGTGGAAAGAATGAGTGGGAACTTCCTATGCAGAAAGTCTCACAGTGGGGACTCCTGGGTGTCCCACCAACTTCCTGAACACACTGTCGAAGTCCCAGCCTTGGGTATAGGACCCTTGTCTTGAAAAATGCATTTAGTTGCCAAAAAGAACCACATTTCGGAGTGTCTTTGAAATTCTAGCAGTCAGTTAACATGACCCAAAACAGATCCCAGAAGTGAGGGAAACCCAGAGCCTGAGGTGCTGTGGTCTTACCTCGCCACCTGTCCACGTGCACCCCTGGGGAGGCCATGTGGGCGCTGAGGGGGGTGCACGGGCCAGGGAGAGATGCATGGCCGAGTCCCCTCGCTGCTGCACCCCGCCTCCTCCCCACCCAGCCCTGCCCTCCTGCCTGTGCTTGGCCCCTCCAACCTCACCTTGTGTTGCAGATAAACCAGAGGAGACGGTCCCGGCCCCCAAGCCCTCCCGCACGGCTGAGAGCATGGCCATGGAGACCAGAGTGGCCACCATCAAACAGCGGCCCACCAGCAGGTGCTTCCCAGCAGCCTCAGACATGAACGTGAGTGACTGTGTCCCCAAGACGAGGGATGGCGGTCTAGAGGCACACAGAAGCAGGGGTCAGAGCAGGTGCAGAGGACCTCCCAGGCGTGCAGACCATGCCCCTGCCCTGCCCTGCCCTGCCACAGGGGCCTCAACACTGGCACTCGGCCCCCAGCCTCGAGGGCGACCCCCCATGTGCAAGCTGAGGACCACTGAGCTGTGGCCAGAGAGGCCCTCAGGAGTGCTCCTCAGACACAGCCACTCTGGGGTGGAAGAAGCCTCTGGCCACCACTGCACAGAGGTCCATCCTCTGGTGGACTCTGAGGATGGACGACACACCCTCAGCACAGGGCCGAACCTGAGACTCACCTGGGCCCCGCCGCGGGCCGGAAGCACTCCCTGCTGGCTCAGGGAGCAGCGGCCAGGCCGCAAGAGCAGGGCTTCTCAATACCCAACGCGCCAGGCAAAGGCAGTGCTGCCCGGGCGGGGCCTGGGCCGGGGCTCACTGGCTTCAGTGTCCCCCGCCTGGCCCCGCTCTGAGCACTGCCCTTTACAACTGTGTGGCTTAGTATTCTCGTGATTCAGCTGATCACCACACGAGACCCCAAACTCCCCAAGCCTGATACGTGAGCTCTCCCTGAGCCCTGAAACAAACGTCACCAAGGACGGCGGGGACCAGAGTGCTCAGCCCCAGTTTCACCTCCCGAGCTGCAGGGCCACACTGTGTCCCTGCCGTGCCTACACGCCCCACCCTGTCCCCACACCCCTCCACCCCTGCCCTGTGGGACAGCTGCCCTTGCCGTCCTGGGAGCAGGCCCTGGCCTCCCTTCCCCAACCTCAGGGAGAGCTACAGAGCGAGATGGACGGGGCAAGGCCGTCCTCGGGTGCCCCCTGGGAGTGCACATCTGGCCTCCTGCTCCTCGGGTCGGGCAGCAAGCTCAGCCTGGCACAGCAGCCCTGGGAAGACCTGTGCAGGGGCTGGTGGAGGCCACGCTGGAACACAGCCTCGAGGTGGAGGAGGGGAGCTCTGGGCTCCTCCTAGAGCAGGCCTGGGGGTGGGGGGCGAGGCGGGGCCAGCCCCTGGCCACAGGTGGGTAGGCTGCTGCAGGGCCGTCCTGCTTGCCAGACAGCGCCCATGCCTGGTCTTCTTCACACATGCTGTGGGGCCAGCATTAGCCCACTGTGCAGAGCAGGACTATAGAGGCCCTGCTTGAGGATGTGGCCAAGGCCACAGGGTACAGCCCACGTCACACCCCACTGCCACTGTGCTCATTCTCACAGGACACCTGACCTGGCTCCATTCCACAGAGCCTTGTCCAGCTGCTCTGGTACAGGGTGTCCCTAGAGCAGCACGTGCCTGCATCCCACACTGTTGGAGCTGTCGGAGAGGCAGAGGGGCTGCCCGGTCTCCACGCAGCCCCGCAGCACCCTGGAGATCTGCCTTGCTCCGGAACCACCTGGGCCCTGTGGCGGTGCAGGGACCTCCTTGCTGCCCTCTGGTTGAGACCAGCCAGGACGTGTCTCACCCAGTTTTCTGGTTTGCAGTCTGTATACGAGCGCCAGGGGATCGCTGTGATGACACCCACAGTTCCCGGGAGCCCGAAAGGCCCGTTTCTGGGCCTCCCCCGAGGTACGATGCGAAGGCAGAAATCCATAGGTAAGAAGCACTACCTAACCCAAAGAAGGGGCCCTTGGGAGGTCTGGCCTCGGGCCAGGCTGTCTAGCTGCTCCCCCAGGCCTGCCCCGGGGGGGGTGCCCAGGTCCCCCACCAGGCAGCCACTGAACAGCGCAGAGCAGCAAGCCCTCCCGCCCCTGCAGACAGGCAGTGCGGCTATGGTCTCTGATCTGACGGCTACTTGTAACAGCAGGGTGAAGGGGCCATGAGCCGGAGGGGAAGGTGGGGCCCGTGGGAAGGGCAAGTGGACCCTGTGTCCTTGTTTGTGGAACAAGCTCACGGGACATGTTCGTCCGGGAGGCTGGTCAGCTCTCCAATGTCAAGGACAGCACGCTGTCCTGGAGAGCAGCTCCCACCCACTGGGGCCATCCCAGTTGCTGCCTCGACTCTGACAGGCAGGAAGGCCTGACCCTGGACGCAGTCCCTTTGGGAGAGAATGCAGACCTGTCCTTGCCCTGTAAACTGCTAGAAGCCAAGGCCACTGCTGGACATGGAGGGCCTGCCACATACACAGGGTGAAAGCGTCCACCCCAACGTCCGGCTGCCCCGGGGACCCAGCTCTGGTTCTGGAGTTCTGGGGCTGTAGTGTGAAGAGGAGGCGGCGGGCAGTGACAAGGGGGTGGCGGCTGCTCCTGAGCCCGCCCTCCTGCGGAGCTGCCCACTCCCGTGATGTCTCTGATCCTTACTGGTTGATAACGACTGATTTCCTCCCTGTCAGACAGCAGAATCTTTCTATCAGGTAGGTGGAAGCCTCCAGCTTGGAATCTGCCCTTTATATAAGGTGCATTCCAAAATCGCACTCCTCGGAACACACCTGCCGGCGTCGGCATGTAGCCAAGGCCCCACTGAGAGGCGGTCAGCACCAACCTTGCAGGCCACCACCTTCCCACGGGGAGTGGGTGCCGTTTGGAACACCCATATCAAGTTTCCACTGGAATCAGTGATTTGTCCTGGGAACTTTTTAAATTTCGAGTAGTCCACTTTGCTGCCCTAGAACCCTGCATGCCCGACGCACAGCTGTGGTCCCTGGGTCTGTTGTGTGTGTGGCTTCTGTTCCTGTGCTCGTGCCTTGTGCTGTGCTCCAGTCTGTAGTCACCCCAGTCACCATGCAGAGCATGCTCCAGGTACACCGTGGTGTCCCCAGGGCCATAGTCACAGCCCACTCGCTTTCAACACCCACGAGCTTTGGACAATTGTCTCAGAACATGGCTTTGAGCTTGTGCCCTCCACCCGGGCTGCAGAGAGCCCTAGACAGGCCAGTGCGGAGCCTCTGGGCTGAGCCCACGGCGCCCTCGGCCCCTGCCTAGTGCCTGCTCGGGAGCCTGTGGCCATGTGGGTCGGAGTCTTTGGTTTGAGGAAGGCTCCCTCCCTCGTGGCAGTTCCAGAGCCAAAATGGCCCTACCTCTGACCAGCCCACTCACAGCCATCCTGCCGGGGACCCAGGGGCTCGCTGTGCACAGCCCTCTGTGCGGCTCCTACATCTCCCAAGAGGCCATCACAGTGATGCCACAACCCCTGTCAGCACAGTGAGACCACCAGGGACACAGCTCTGCTGCTGGTAGAGGGTCTGCCACACACATGGGCAGCAACCACAGGGCTCACATGCCACCTGACCAGCAGCGGCATCTTCAGCACTGCCCACCCACACCAGCGGGCAGACACAGTGGCACCTACTACCCCCGGCCTCCAGAAGATGGGTGACAGCTGCAGACTCCCAGGGCCAGGCCACACCTGAAAGGGGCAGGGACAGAGGAGGGTCCAGCTGGTGTGGCCAGCCCACCCCATCTGAGAGTGCGCACACACACACAGCTAGGAGGGGTTGGTGACCCAGGCGTGGCCTAAAAAGCCACACACGCCCGTCTCTGGGCCGGGCCCTGGCCTCACGGGCCCCACAGTGTACCTGGAGAAGGGCTCCTGCACGTGTCCCCTGTGCCCAGGGCCCGCTTTTCTTTCTTTTCGTGGCCAGAGTGGGTTGCACAGCGAGCTCTGGTGTTGCGGCCTGTGCCGTGTGCGGTGCCGGGTGGCGAGTGCAGCTGCATGACCTGAGACCCGCAGGGGGCTGGGCCGCAGCTGAGATGCCAAGCTCAACCCGCTTTCTGCCCACAGGAATAACAGAGGAAGAGCGGCAGTTCCTGGCCCCTCCGATGCTGAAGTTCACCAGAAGCCTGTCCATGCCGGACACGTCCGAGGACATCCCCCCTCCACCGCAGTCCGTGCCCCCGTCTCCACCTCCACCCTCCCCCACTGCCTACAACTGCCCCAAGTCCCCAACTCCGAGAGTCTACGGGACAATCAAGCCTGCGTTCAATCAGAATCCTGCTGCCAAGGTGTCCCCCGCCACCAGGTCTGACACAGTGGCCACCATGATGAGGGAGAAGGGCATGTTCTACAGACGAGAGCTGGACCGCTACTCCCTGGACTCCGAGGACCTCTGCAGCCGGAGCGCGGCCCCCCAGGCCACCTTCCGTAGCAAGCGGGGCCAGATGCCCGAGAACCCGTACTCGGAGGTGGGGAGGATCGCGAGCAAGGCCGTCTACGTGCCGGCCAAGCCCGCCCGGCGGAAGGGCATGCTGGTGAAGCAGTCCAATGTGGAGGACAGCCCCGAGAAGACATGCTCCATCCCCATCCCCACCATCATCGTCAAGGAGCCCTCCACCAGCAGCAGCGGCAAGAGCAGCCAGGGCAGCAGCGTGGAGATCGAGCCCCCGGCCGAGCAGCCCGGCCAGCTGCGGCCCGAGGACGGCCTGGCCTCCAGCAGCCCCTTCGCCGCAGCCATTGCGGGGGCTGTGCGTGACCGGGAGAAGCGGCTGGAGGCCAGGAGGAACTCCCCAGCCTTCCTCTCCACGGACCTGGGGGATGAGGACGTGGGCCTAGGGCCGCCTGCCCCCCGGATGCGGCCCTCCAAGTTCCCAGAGGAGGGTGGGTTTGGCGATGAGGACAGTGCAGAGCTGCTGGTGTCGCCCACGCCGGTGGCAGCGCCAAGAGAGCCCGAGAACCATTTTGTGGTTGGTGGCGAGGCCAGTGCTCAGGGTGAGGCCGGGAGGCCCCTGAATCCCGCATCCAAAGCCAAGGGGCCCGAGGGCAGCCCAGCGGCAGCCCCCAAGAGCAGCAACGCCGTCAGCCCGGAGAACTACGTCCACCCGCTCACCGGGCGCCTGCTGGATCCCAGCTCCCCACTGGCCCTGGCACTCTCCGCAAGGGACCGAGCCATGAAGGAGTCCCAGCAGGGGACCAAGGGGGAGGCCCCCAAGGCTGACCTCAACAAGCCTCTCTACATTGATACCAAAATGCGGCCCAGTGGGGACACTGGCTTCCCTCCCGTCACCAGGCAGAACACCCGGGGGCCCCTGCGCCGACAGGAGACGGAGAACAAGTACGAGACAGACCTGGGCAAGGACCGGAGAGGTGGGGACAAGAACATGCTGATCAACATCGTGGACACGGCCCAGCAGAAGTCGGCCGGCCTGCTGATGGTGCACACTGTGGATGCTGCCCAGCTGGGCGGTCCCCTGGAGGAGGAGGAGGAGGAGAGAGAGGACATGGACGTGACACTAGACCACCCGCCCTCCGCGGTGCCAGAAGGTGTTTCCGACACCGAAGGTGCTTTACAGATCTCCGTCACCCCCGAGCCCGCCACCGCGCCCGGCAGGACCATTGTGGCCGCGGGCTCCATGGAGGAGACGGTGGTCTTGCCATTCCGCACCCCTCCCCCCCCCCTGGCATCCGTGGACTTGGATGAGGATTTTGTTTTTACAGAGCCATTGCCTCCTCCCCTGGAATTTGCAAATAGTTTTGATATTCCTGATGACCGCGCTGCTGCTGTCCCCACTCTCACCGACTCGGTCAAGCAGAAGAAAACCGATGCCCCTCCGTCCCCTTCGTTGAACTCCAGCCAGCCAGCCAACCCCGCGGACACCAAGAAGCCAGCCGGCCTTTCCAACTGCCTGCCCGCCTCCTTCCTGCCACCTCCCGAGAGCTTCGACACCGTCGCCGACTCTGGGATCGAGGAGGTGGACAGCCGCAGTAGCAGTGACCACCATCTCGAGACAACCAGCACCATCTCCACGGTGTCCAGCATCTCCACCCTGTCCTCTGAGGGCGGGGAGGGCGTGGACACCTGCACAGTCTATGCAGACGGGCAAGCGTTCGTGGTCGACAAGCCCCCCGTACCTCCAAAGCCAAAAATGAAGCCCATTATTCACAAAAGCAATGCACTTTATCAGGACGCGCTCCTGGAGGAAGACGCGGACAGCTTCGTCATCCCCCCACCTGCGCCCCCGCCCCCACCGGGCAGCGCCCAGCCTGGGCTGGCCAAGATCATCCAGCCAAGGACCTCCAAGTTGTGGGGTGATATCACGGAGGTCAAAAGCCCGATTCTCTCAGGCCCCAAGGCGAACGTTATTAGTGAATTGAACTCAATCCTGCAGCAAATGAACCGAGAGAAATCGGCAAAGCCGGGGGAAGGACTGGACTCGCCGGCAGGGGTCAAGTCCGCCAGCCTAGCTCCAAGGTAAGTTCACAGTTGGCTTGGGCACACACTGTCCAGTGCTGCCCATGAAAGTCCTGAGGGAGAACCAAGAGGATGAGAAGAGGGATTCCTAACCCTGTGATGGCCACACTGTCGGCCATAACCGCGTGTCACCCTCCAGACTCTGGGACGGCAGAGTCAAAGCCGCAGCTGTCCTGGCAGGAGACAGCGCTCCCTCCTCAAGACTCCTAATGAGATGAAGGGGCACAAAGCCCCCCGCCCTGGCCTCCGAGATGAGCTCAGCTCTCCTGTGTGACCAGACCTTTGCCGGGACCACTGCGAAGGCCAGGTGGAGGCTCGCTGAGCCCAGGTCGAGGTCAGCGCTGCCTGACAAGAGCGGCCACGGCAGCGGCCTTAGTGAGGGGCGGCGAGGGGGGTTGACGGGTGGCGAGGGAGTGTCTAAACACATGCGTGTGGGCTCTTACCCCTCCCTCCATGGCCAGCGGGGGGAGGGCTGGGAGGTGCCGCCCAGGGCAAACGTCACGAAGGAAAAGCCCCAGGTGGCCCAGCTGCCACTCACATCGTCACACAGGTAGTAGTCACTCCCATGGGAGCTGGGGTGACAGAGGAGGAGCCAGCAGGCTGCCCTGGGTGGAGGGTAAAGCTTGCTGTCTGCCCAGGCAGGGTGCCCAGGCTCCTGTCCTGACTGAGGAAGTCCTTCTGCAGGCCCTGCCCCGGGCCGCCCCTTGGGGCAGCGTTCACTCGCAGTGACTGTGATCTGCAGCTGGGCCACGCTCTTCCCCGCTGCCTTCCAGTGGGGCTCCCACTGCTCTCAGGGGAGGGTGGGGGCATTTGTCGCCACTGCTCCTGGGCCTCCACCGCCAGTGACATCTGCGAGCACCTCCAGGTGGAGGGATCCTCGCGGGCTGCACCTGCCGGGCTCCCTGCTCCTGGAGGAAGAGAAGGTGCCCGCACACAGGCAGAGCCTCAGGAAAGCGGGTCACCGGCAGCCTGTCCTTGCAGGGAGGTAACACCACAGGTGCTCTCTGCTTTTTCATTTTGATACCGGAGATCAGACACAGGGCTTCACATATACCCGGTGGCCCTCCAAGAGCTCCCTCTCCAGCCACAGGAGGCTCTTTATGTTCTGTCACTGAATCCTGTGACAGAGCCACCAGAAGGCCAGACCTCAGTGCTCCACGTCCATGAGAAGCTCTCGGGTGGACGGTGTTGAGGACAGCCAGGGGCAGGGGCCCAGGTGCAGCCGCCTCTCCCGAGGGCTGAGTGGCTTCCCAGTGCTGGGCCCGCAGGAGCCAGAGCAGGACGCAGACTCCTCAGCACAGGCCACAGACAGGAGGGTGCCAAGAGGGAGTGACTCCGGGGCCAGGGAAGCAGATCCACTGTTGAGGCCCCAGCAGCTCACCTGAGCCAGGGTCTCCGGTATGTCCACCCGGGGAGCCCAGGAACTACAGCCACAGAGGCCGCCAAGCACCTGCTGGCCCACCTGCTCCAGTCCCTGTAGGTGGGACAAGAATGGCTTGCTCCCAGCCAAGTGGGACTCCACCCTGCTCTGACTCTAGGGCCTTCCTGTCTTTGCCCAGGTGGACACTGGGCAAGGAGGAGCCTCAGAGAAGCCGTCACCCGACGAGACCTCGGCCTGCACTGTGAAGCAGCTGCCTAACGCAGGGTGCAGTCCCACCTGCAGGCCTGTGGTCACTTTCGCTTCACAGCCAAGGAAACAGCCAGGGCTGTGGAGCTCGGTCCGCCCTCCCAGTGGGCTGCCCCGGTCTGACCCCTGACCTCCTGCAGGAGCCAGGGCCTTCACCAAGCAGAGGGCCAGAGGGCTAGTGGGCAAATGCGGGCTGAAGCTGTCTAGGCCACAGGCTGCGCCCAGCGATGGACTCTCCCAGGCAAGCGGTCACCAGGCGGCCCAGGGCGTGTGCAGTCCTTCCCGCTCCCAGCCGAGGGCTGCCCTAGGCGCTGGGCGAGGCAGGGGAGGCCGCGGCTCAGGCGCTCACTGCAGCACTCCGACCAGCTCTCAGGAGTGCCAGCACAAGCTCTCTGAGGGATGAGGTCGGGACAGCAGTCCCCGTCACCACCAGTAGGTCCTGGGGTGGCCGGGGCCTAGCTGCCCCTGGCCCTGGGTGCCCGCCTCTGCCAGCTGGCTAACAGGCCTGGGCTTTACCCACGTGGTGGCACACAGGCCACCATCCTCAAATGCATCCAGAAATCAAGAGCTATGAATGGCCCTGAGCAAAATGAGGCTCGGAATTGGGCGGAGAAGCGCCTCCAGAGGAACACGGCGAGTGTTTCTGGAAACCAGCGGGCTTCTGAAATGGCAGGCAGCCCGGGCACAGCCAGGAGAGGCGCCAGCTGAGCAGGGCCACTGCCCGCACACTGTGGGCAGAAGCTGCCCTGATCTGTCCACTGCTCCTGGAATCTTGCCTGACAGCTCTGCGGTGAGACCACCCCTTGCGCATCTTACTAGACCCCAGCACAGGGTCCAGGGACGATGGCTGTGGTACGTCTGACCTAACCTGAGCCAAGACTGAGTCTCTGCTGTTCCCTGAGGTCAGGGTGATGTGGAATCTGGAGACACCTGGACTACGAGTGTGTTGCTGCCCAAAGGAAGCCATCGGGAAGTGTCCTTTAGGACAGCGTTGGGCGAGAAGACCCTGGCCAGAGATGCCTTCCAAGACAGGAGCCACCGGGCAGTTCTCAACCACCAGCCTGATTATGCCAGGGAAGAAATCTCATCACTGGGCACAGTAGGTCCAAGCAGAGAAGGGCACAGGAGTGGGGAGCTCCCCCAGAAGCCACTGCCATGGCTCCCCAGGACCACTGGCATGGGGCCTGAGGACCCAAGAGGTGTGTAGATGCTGGCCTGCACCCTGCTTTTCACCGTTTGTGACCCTGGGTGACATCTCAGTGCACCTGATTTCCACTACACTGAAAGTGTGGCTTGAGTGGTGTTCTTGTCACCTTGCAGACCCAGGAGGAGAGGGCTCAGGGGTCTTGGTTAAAGTCACATGCTGGGGACAGACAAGCTACCCAAATGCAGACCTGGAAGATGGGCTGGACCCAGTTTGGGGCTCAGAACCACAGCATGGCCCACAGTGTCCTGAGCCCACGGGTCAGCCATGTTGCTGAGCCCAAGAGACACCAGGCCTGGGGTGGAGAGAGACGAGGAGTGCAACAGCGGGGCTGGGGCTCTTCAAACGGACAGCAGACCCGGCCAGCAGCAGCAGCAACTGCAACTGGTGCCCACGTGTGCTGGGCACCATGCTGAGCCTGGGCTTGTCACTGGTCAGGAAAGCACGCGAGGCCACTCTTTCTTGGAGGAGCTCGAATTCCCAGAGGAAACCACCAATACATGCTGAACAAGAGACCCAAGTGGACAGACGCGGCAAGGAACCATGGTTTGCTGGCCAAGCAGCCTGGACAGAAGAGCCACCACTCAGGGAGTGACACTGGAAAGACATAGAATACACAGAGGCGCCACAGTCAGAAACCGAAGCAGAGCTCAGGTGGGGGATGGCAAGGCGCGGGGCGAGCACAGCACCCAGGCCAGCGAAAGTGTTCTCCATGTCAGGAGACCAGGCCAGGAGGGAGGGCAGGTGACCCATGGGCTGGCAGCCACCCCAGGGCTCACCAACGCAGGTGTGACTCCACTTTTGCTTCCTAAAGACACAGAGGCTGCTGCGTGGCCAGGGGCAGGGGCCCGCACAGCGACACGGGGCTGGGGGCTGCTGTGGGGGTCCAGGCCTGAAGCAGGACAACAGGGTGATTTGAGAGGTGTGCCTGAGGAACCTGGAGAGCCAGCACAGCCTGCCCAGGCATCAGCCTTACCAGTGACCCCAGGGTCCTCATGGCCAGATAAGCCTGCCCTTCGTTGGCACATCAGGAAAGGTCAGCTTCGCTTCATCTGTCAGGAGAGGCGACGAGGGGCCTGTGGGTCCCTGTGATTCCACCAGAGGGCGGGGCTCAAGCTGGGTGCCCTCTGGACAACCAGCCCTTCGCGGTGGGAGCAGAGGGATGTCTAGGTTGGCTGTCACCTACTGCAGTAGGGATGGGCTCAGAGAGAGTCATCCCATGGGAGTGAGGTCCCCAAGACCCCTGGGCAGGTTCCAGCTGCCCAGGGAATGAGTTTGGGCCAGCTCTTAGAAAAGCCACCTCCAGCCCCACTGTCCTTCCGAAGGCCCCCACAGTACAGCATCTGCCCCCTTGCCTGTTCCTCCAACAGTCACAGCTCCGTGTTACCCTGACTGGATTTTAAACTGAGTCGAGATGGGCTGTTAAAAACTCTCTGTGCCTGGCTGGAGGTAGAGCCCCCTCCCTGGAAGCCACGTGGAAGCTACTAATAGGGGCTGCAACCTCAGTTCCACTATGGGGGCCTTCATGACCCCCAGCACCAAGTGACTGGGAAGGCCATGTCAGCGAGTGGCACTGTAGGTGGTCTGGTGAATGGCACTGGAGAGGCCCTGGAATGTGTAGCAAGGGGAAGCTCTGTCCCAGGGGCACCTGGCCCCTGCTCGTCAGGTGGCAGGCTGAGTGCTCCTTCTGTCCTGGGCCAGGCCCTAGGGACTGAAGATAGAGCAGGTCCTGGCAGTGCCCTGGGTGATGGTGGCGTCTGGAGTGGGGAACCGCTGGCGGTTCCGGGGGAGGCATTGTCTTGGGCAACCCCCAAGGCTCAGGCCCAGGGCAGATGGTACCCCCAGGTCCCTCTTCAGTGCCCTACACATGCAGAGGCTGGAGAGAGTGTAACTCAGGGACAGGGCAGTTTGGAAGGAGGCGCCCACTCAGGGCTCATCTCCAAAGCCATACAGTGAGTCACACAGGGTGCTTGGCTCAGGAAGGATTTGGGGCTCTGCACCTGCCTGGCCCGTGAAGGGCAGATGGGCCTGGGGAGCCACCATCAATGAGAAGCCTCTGGCTGCCAGGGCTGCTCAGGAGCCCACCTGAGTTTGCAAACAGGGTGAGAAGGCGCCTGCAAGCTCACCTCCATGATCACCTCCATAATCATGTCCTGCCCGTGGAATGTCCCACTTAACTCCTGGGCTGTTTTCTTTTTTTTTTTTTTTTAAGTCTCATGTTTCCATATGGATTTGATTTAAAAGGCAGACTAGAGAGTGATCATCCAAGAGAGGGAGTGTGTGAGTGTCGTTCTAAATCAGGGCAACAGATTCCTGTGTGTTCCGCCTGCAACCCAGCGGTTGCTTAGCAACATAATGATCCCGCCGCAGGAGGATCCAGGGAATCATGCCGGGTGGTGAACCCTGGGAATCGCTGCTGAGGAGGTGGGGGTGGGCCAGCCGGGCCCTCGTTCTGCTGCTAGGACTCTGTGGCCCTCTGCTGTTAGCCATGCTGGGCAGGGGCACTGGCATGGTTAGCCTGCTGGCTGACATCCCATGGTAAGACGGCAAAGCCCTGGTCCTGGTGGGGTGGCATTCCCCGCCACGCATCTGGATGATGCGTCCTGAGCTGTGGAAGGGAAACTACCACCCGGGAGCCAGGGCTGGAACCAGAGCTGGAGAACCGGCAGCAGGCTCATCCCTAGAAGGCACCAGACAGAGGAAGGCACCCTTTGGTGCCACCCTCCAGCATGTGTTCTCCTGAGTCAAGGAGGCGAGGCCATGGAAGGCAGGCAGGCGCTGCAGTGGCCAGGGTCCACACGTCACTCATCCCGTCCTGCGGCAGCTCTGTCCTGTGCCCTTTGATTGGTTTTGCAGTGCTGTCTCAGTGGCTCCGTGTGTCATTCCCACCCGCTCCCACGCCGGTGCTTGCAGAAGAGGGTCATGCTGAGCAGAAGTAAGTGCCATCTGCCAAGCTGGGCGTGGTCTGCTGTGTGCTCTGTCCCCTCCTCTGCCCACCCAGGGGTCGGGAGCCTTCTTCACCACAAGTCCAGCTCTGCCTACAGGGGCCACGGGGCCACCAGCCACTGTCCCCACAGGAGCCTGGTGAGCAGCAGCCAGGTGTCTCCCAACAGTTCCACACACAGGCTTCAGCCAGTGGCTCTGGAACGAGCTTCCTGCCCCACCCCCTGCAGGAAGTGCAGGGAAGTGTCTCTGGCAGTCCTCACCTCAGAGCCCTCCCCCTTCCCAAAAGCCCAGGCTGGGACAGACCCCAGCAGCCACTCCTGCCAGGTTGCACACCTACTTGCAAGTTAATATTTTAACTTTCTTAGCCCAGTTGTTCTTGCAAAGTAGAAACAACTGGCTCCCCAAATGCCACCCTGCAGCTGTAGAGGGGCAGACAGGCTGCTCACCCCTGTGGGCTGCAGCCTGTTCCGGCTGGACCTGGAGCAGGACAACCCTACCTGAGGAGGGTGGGGCTGTGTGTTCCCAGCCCACCTCCCCTGCAGACCCCAAGCCCAGATCCTTAGGACGCCCACTCCTCCCCAGCCTGCAGGGCCTGCTGGGCTCCAGGGTCTTCCTTTGACTGAGTCTCGGTGTCTCATTGGGGCTGCCTCAGACCTTTGGGTACAACCAACATACCAGTACCTCTAATGGCCACCCGCCCCAGGCAGATCCTAGATGGGGCTGCCCACCAGGGACACCCACCCTCCAGGAAACTACCTGTGAGCACCTGGGTGTCTGGGCACCCTGGTCCTCAGGGCACGCCCACCAGCCCCTGCAACCCTTCTCACCAAAGGGCTGCTGCGGCAGTCCACAGCACAGACCTTCCACACCCTGGGACGTCCCGTACTTAATGGTGATAATGACCTCAGAGGGGAGGGCCAGTGACTGGCTGGCTGGTGACTTCGTCTAACACACGGTAGCTGAGACAGAGGCCAGGAGCAGAGCTGGAGAGCAACCACAGCCCCCTGCGGCCTGCAGTCCTCTCACTGCTGGGGCTCTGTGGCGGGTCTGCCCATGGGCACTCAGCAGGGCCTAAGCAAGGCTCCCAAGGCCCAGGGTCCATCAGAACAGATGGCCCAGACCCAGCAGTCCACCTCAGGAGGTCTGAGAGGGTCAGGAGCCTGCATTTCCCACTGGTCTCCCGGGAGGCGACGGGGAACATGTGGGGCTCAGCTCAAGGGGTGCACAGAGTGAGGCGCAGCAGGCACCTCTGAGAGCTCCTCCAGAGGGCCCTGGAGCAGGGTCTGTCCAGAGGGGAAAGCGGGTTGTCCAGTCACACGAGACAGCCCAGGAGGCAAGAAAGAGCAGCTCGCACCTCTGCAGCACTGTGAGCACAGGGTGGCAGGACATCCAGGGCTGCAGAGCAGGAACCAGGGCCCACTGGGGTGCATGTCCTTCCTAGGGGTGGCTAAGAACTGCTGCCAGAGGCCTCGAAAGCCAGCAAGGGACACTTCATCGGCCATGAGCCCCATCCGGGCGAGGAGGGACAGGTCCTCCCCAGCGCTCCGGGCAGCCAGCCATTCCCGCTGGGCCAGTCGGGGTGGGATGGAGGAGAGTCGAGCCTGTCCCTCCAGCTCTGAGGGCTTTCCTGCCCACTCCAAGGACCCCCATGGCCACCACAGGGGAACAAAGTTGTTCAGACATCTGCTCCAGTGAGGCCCACCCACCCTCCTAGCAAGTCCATGAGGGGGACCCCTCAGTGAATCTAACCATGCTGCATCAAGAGTCCAGTCCGCATCGGGCAGGGTCACTGGTCACTGGTGAAGCTGACCTCTTGTGGCGCAACACACTGACCACCCGCTCCTCGTCCTCCGGGTCAGGGGAGGGCTTCCTCCAAGCCCGAGTGGCCTGCAGCCAGGGCCCTCTGTGCTGAAGCAGGCCCATCCCTGCTTGTCCTGAGACCAAGGACCGCCGGGCAGCTGAGGGAGGGTCCTCGCCAGTGCAACCCTTACTGGCCCCAGCAGAGGCGTGCCGCGCCCTCGAGAGGTGCACCCGAGTGGGAGGCTTGTGTGCTGTGGTGTCCCCGAGGCCCCTGCTTCCCCTCCTCCTGCCCAGGGCATGGCAAACTGTTTGCTCATTGCCAGTGCATCTGCCAGGGGGCACTCTGGTGTGGTGTGGTGCCTCCCCTGTCCTCCTCGGTGACCTGGCTTGTGACGGTTTTCTCTGTTGCTGTTTCAGAAGCCCAGAGGTCATGAGCACCGTCTCAGGGACTCGGAGCACGACAGTGACCTTCACCGTCCGACCTGGCACCTCGCAGCCCATCACCCTGCAAAGCCGGCCCCCCGACTACGAGAGCAGGACCTCAGGAGCGAGACGTGCCCCCAGCCCCGTGGTCTCGCCAACCGAGATGAACAAGGAGATCCTGCCCGCCCCGCTGTCGGCAGCTGCCGCATCTCCTTCTCCCACACTCTCGGATGTCTTCAGCCTTCCAAGCCAGCCCCCTGCCGGGGATCTATTTGGCTTGAACCCAGCAGGTCGCAGCAGGTCGCCATCTCCCTCCATACTGCAGCAGCCAATTTCAAATAAGCCTTTCACAACTAAACCTGTGCACCTGTGGACTAAGCCAGATGTGGCCGACTGGCTGGAGAGCCTGAACTTGGGTGAGCACAAAGAGACCTTCATGGACAACGAGATCGACGGCAGCCACCTACCAAACCTCCAGAAGGAGGACCTGATAGACCTCGGGGTGACGCGGGTCGGGCACAGGATGAACCTAGAGCGTGCTCTCAAGCAGCTGCTGGACAGATAAGGCCGGCTGCTCCCGCCCGGACTCCCTGTTATAAGTAGAGATGGGCTCACGCTGGGATCTGAAGGCCAAGCGGAGTCTGAGCATCAACCCCGCTCCATGGGTTTGTCTCCTGGTACCCAAAGAAATGCTGCGGGCGTCCGTGGTGTGTCTGAGCCGAGGCCTGGAGGCCTGGCTGTCCACATGGGGTTCCTGGGTGGCTTCTGTCTCAAGGGGACAGGGGAGGGAGTTCCAACACGGGAAGATTCCCAGCCTACCTCCCAGCACACAGGCAGCCTCGCTTTGCTGGGTCCACGAGGCTCCGTCGGTTTGGCGCGGGACCCCTGCTCTCGTAGGCAGACAGCGTACTCCAGATACCTCCTGAGCCTCCCTCCTCTGCTTCCTGGGCAGCTCTCATCACCCCAGGCCCCGGCACAAGGCCTGTCCTCAGTCCTGTGGCTTCTCGGAGGACACTCCGAGCTCACTGGCTCCCGCCTCTTCCCCGAACTTGCGTGCAGTGAGATGCTCCCAGAGGCTTGTGGGTGCCCTTCCTGGGCCTGAAAGGTAGAGAAACGCTTTTCCCTGTCCAGATCCTGTACCCATCTCCTCCTGTGATGTGCCTCCATAGCTCTTTGGCCACGAGGTTCTTGGCAGTGGTGGGCATTTGAGTGGGATCGTGCCCGGCTTTGCTTAGCTTTCTTTCTTTATTTCTGCAAATCTATTAGCATAATTCCAAGGTGGCCAAACAGATGTCACATGGAGTTAGTCAAAGCACAAAGTCACGATCCCCAGGAGGAAGGGAGGCCTGGCCATGGGAACCAGCCAGCGTGCAGCTGCCTGGGACCCCAGCCTCCTCCGGGACGCGAGCGGCTGCCTGCCAAAGAGCGTCTGCGTGGGCGGAGAGGGGCTCTGCCTCTTGGAAGCCTTTTCACTGAAGGCCTGTTGAGCTCTGCAAAGGCCAGAGCAGCTGAGCACCCACTTCAACGGGAAGGACAAGAAGACACGTGGTTTGTGTGGGCATGTGCCCCTTGGGGGAGCCATGTCCTCTCTGGGAGCTGGCAGGGCACTACGGCCTCACTAAGCCCGGCCAAGGGCAAGTGTCTGGGCTAAGCCAGCCCTTTTGCTCTTGGAGGCTGGGGAAAGTGGCACTCAGGGGCTGTCCACCTCCTCTCCAGGAGTCCAGGAATCCCACCAGCTTGTCTTAACAGTACAATGTGGTCTTGGGACCCCGTGGGCAAGGACTGTGGCCAGGACCAGGGTGAACAGAAGGTGGGCTGCTGGGTGTGGGCGGAACGTGGATGTGTGCAGGCAGTCAGGGGGAGGGAGCACTCTGGCCTGTGGCCGGAGCCTGCCCGCTTCCTGCCCGAGCCCGCGTCCTGAAACCATACCTCTAGCACCTAAGGGAGGCCACCCGTTGAACACGGGCCACCAGACATCACCAGGCTTCCCGCACACTCTCCCATCTTTGGAGGAGACATGAACGTCAGGTTTGGTTTTATTATGATTTCAGAACTAGCCCAGCCCATCTCTAATTATAGAACATGGTTTTTCCTTTTTTCTTTATGCTCACGACCACGTGTCTGATGAGGTCTGGAACTCTAGAATGAACACGTGAACTTTAGTAATTTAAAAATCTTTCTTTACTGCAAGTTTAAATAGGTGTACAGATAGTTTATAAGCACAATATTTTAAGGAAAAAAGTGGCTGGTCTACTAGGCAGCCTTTGTGCACTTCAGTGCTAGAAAGTTAAAGAAAAAACACTTTTGTGATTTAATGATACTATTTCTGTGGAATAATTATACAAGTATGACCTTTTTAAATCAAACTTATCTGGATGCATCTGAACCAGCAGAGCTGTGTTATATTTTCTATATTTGCTAGAACTTCATCATTGAAGGATGATTATTTCTTCAAAAGTGGTTACAATTCACACTAAACAGTTTCCTCCAAAAACAAAGGCAAAACACACCCCACACACGCACGCGCGCACACACACACGCCCTTGATCTGGAAACCCAGGCTGGGCCTCCTGCGCTCCAGACCCTCACAGGTCCATCTTTATAATCTGACCCCTGGGTGTGCCTGGTTGCTGCGGCTCTCTATCCCACGGCTTTGGTTTCCATCTCAAGGTGACCCACAGTGCTCTAGAGAAACCCAGCCCAGACCCACAGCGCCTGCCAAGGCCTTTCAGATGTGTCTCCCGTTCGTGATTTTAGAATGTCAGCACTGCACTCGCGGGGCCGCTCCTGGCCTGCAGGGCCTGCCGGCTGTGCTCAGTGCCAGACAGAACACAAGGCACAAGGCCTGTGGCTCTGGGCATGCGGTCACTGGGCAACAAGACAGAACAAGAACTCTGCTCCCTCAGAGGCTTCCAGCCACGGCGGCTGGTCAGAAGCAAGCTCCCTGACAGCCTCAGGGCCGAGATCAGTCCCACCTTCGCGCCGTCTCATCCTAGGAATAGGAGCCCCTCTCAGACCGGCCCGACCCACCAAACACGCCTGCTGCCACGATGAATCGGCCTCTAGCTCTCTTGGATGACTTTGCTATAGAAAGCAATAGTCCCTACTCCAAATTGCCGCCCACTGTTCTCCCCCTTTGGGACCCATCAGGACCAGGCCCTACCCCGGGAACAAACTTAAACTGCTCATATAATGATCATGTTAATAGTACTCCAGATTTTCAGATCAACTTTTGTTATATACTGTAATTTAAACAAACTGCATTTACATGCCTAGTTTCTGTAATATTGTGTATACAAACCAAAATCTCTCCAGATGTAAATTATGTATACCTGCCGAGATACCTTCTCCAGGACGTTTGTGCACATTTTAAGTTAATCCATATAATATAAAAATAACTCGATGTGACTGTTGGTTTGCTGAATTTACACATCACAAAGTGAATTATTCGTGGTACTTTAGTTAATAAAATGGTGGTTTTTTTCCTGAGTTACTGAACAAGCAAGCACTACCCAGTTGATCTGGCAATGACTTCTCTGTGTGTAGGTCACCAGTATGACCTTCCCATTGGCAGTTTGTTTTTGTTTTAACACCATGTCTCCCGCTACCGTCTGTGTAACCACACACATTCACACCTCCATGTTGCTCTTACTTTTCTGCTTTAATTCTTTTTAGATTTTATTAAAAAACAAAACAAAACAAAAAAAAAGCTCCTGTAATTTGCACTTTCTCCCAATCCTTCAATCACTTGTACGGCAACCAAAATTACTGTAAAAAAATAAATATACTATTGCACTAAGGTTGTGGTTCTGATTGTGAACAGTGAAAACTGAATGAACTAAACAAAAAGTTGCCAAACTTGCAATCTAATTAAGTTACTGGAGACACCATAGCCGGCTTTACCTCCCTAAAATGGACCAGGTAATGTCTGTCACCAGAGAGGACAAATGCTCCTTTCACTGAGCTCGCTTGGCTTGGTTCCATTTCCTTAATCTCAGTGTCCTGACAGAAATGTGTGTCATTTCAGAGCTGAGCCACATCCGGCTGGCTCCGTGACATGTCTGTGAGCCGGCACTGAGGCCTGAGTGCTGCTTGTGCGTGGGTGGGAGCAGCACCCTCTAGGCCGAGCCAGGCAAGACAGAGGCCCACACCCACGGGCTCTTCTTCTAGCCACAGGCCCTGGAGCTGCAGGCCTGGACACCCTCTCTGGTCACCCTGAACAAGCAACATATCAAGTTCTAGAGCAGGAAGGAATTTTGTTTTGGTGAATAAGCCTGAGCCAGGAATCCCGGGCTGTCCCACTTGCTTTAGGAAAGTGCATTCAAATTGAGCACTGAGCCACTGAGGCCTCTCCAGGGGAAACGGGCCCTGGTTCCTAGGAGGCTCCGTGTTGGCTCACTTGCCTCTACACAGCACTGCTGCGCTTTGGTCCACCAAGCCCACCTACAGCCTCTGTAGGTGCCTGGTCCCTCCCTCCTCTCCTGGGAGTCCTCCCCAGCCTGTACCCCACAAGGGCACCATCCCAAGGTCTCTCCCAGGCCTCTTTCCTGGATGAGTGTTAGTTTGTCTTATTGGGGGGGGGGGGGTGTCACTGGAAGACTTTTTCTTTTACTTGAACTTGATTTGAGGCATTTTAGCAGCCAGTGAGCTGGATGTGCTCATGTCTGAAGCCATCATGGACATCTGCTAGTGGGGAAAAGGCCTCTCAACACATGTGCAGGGGCTGCCTATGCTCGGTGGGGACTTCAGCAGATCTGATCACGTCAGCTCTCAAGCCGCTGTGTCCGTGACCTTGCTCCTGTGTGGTCCCTTAACATGGTTCTACATCTCCCAGTCCTCACTGTTTGATGTTTAAAACTACAACAGTCACTGTTCATTGCTTCTACTCTGGAACTCTCTGTTCGTAGCAATTCTGAAACTTTAATATGAGCCTTCAAATAAATACAGAAAAGAAAAAAAGAAAAAAAAACCAACAAAGTTGTGTGCCTTGGGTGTTTTGAACCTGATCTGCATAAAAACATATTGTACTCAAATGCTGTATATTTAATGAAAGGATAAACATACCTTCAATGTATCAATGTAGCTGATAAATAGTCCTAGTGCCTTGTTTTCTGAACTGAGAAGCCCATATCAATGCACAAGGTAAAGACAAAGGCGAGTCGAGCAGTGAAATGTCGAGAAGACCTAGCCGTGGTTTGGATCCTGTCTCAGCCTAAGACTGTGGGATGCCCACAGACGCTTAAGCTAAAAAATAAAAGAACATTGAAACAAGATTGTGTCATCAATTACTTTTCCACTAAAATGCTATCACTTCCGGGACTTTCATTTAATTAAAATACCCACATGCATGAGATTCCTGTGCCAGCGTTTTGACAGCAGGGGTCTGCGGCCTCCCTCCCTTGTGCTGTGTCGCCCCCCAGTGGTGCTGGCCAGCAATGCTTATCCAGGTCAGCTATTGATCATTTTCCCAGAGATCCTGTCATGGAGTGGATTTAGGCCATTCATCACACTATGCCCATTTTTCATAAGTTTAAGGGACTAGACACACCTGTCTCCTGAAAGGAG